ACTCGCTAATTCATGAATCATGATGACCAATACTGATTAACAATAAGTAAAAAAGATGAAAAGGCTTCAAACCTGCACTAGAAGGTAGAAAAATATGCCAATACTGATGCAATACAAACCACCAAGATCGGCAAGGAAGCTAACTGTAAAATAGTAACCAGACAAGAATAAAAAAATACTTCAGTTATAACTGAAGCTGCTCTAGTATTCTCTAACTGCACACTAAATCAAGATACTGCCTGCACTTCACGGTGCAATTATATACTCAAATGGATAAGAAATAACTAACTACTCGGACATGAGGGATTCACAAGAAGTGACTAGAGAAAGTAAATGGAGTAAATTAATTTACCAGGGCCGAGTATATTTTCATGGTCGATCTCAACAATATAAGCAGAGAGATAGTTGATGAACAATGTGGTGTTGAGTATGCCATCTGTTGACCTCCCCATAGATGCCTGAAGCTGATTGTTGTCTCGGTAAACTGAGCCAGGGATAAACTCGTGAAACAGAGGTTGGATTAGCTTTAGATCATGCAGATGATGGTAGATCCGAGGAAACAGATTAAACTTCAGTATGTTCCCTTCAGTTCCACGGAAAGTAACCGGACTTTCATCAAGAATGCTTCCGTTTCTCAGAGTGCCACTAACAAAACTCATATGCTTCTTGTGAGCTCCATTCTTAGACGTAAAGTTAAACATGAATCCAACAGCAGCGGCAGGCGAATCAGGGAGATCAACGAAATGCCAGGAGATATAGATGTAATCGCTGGTGAGGCGACACTTGGTACACTTGAAATTCACAGTTGGCCCTGAAGTTGTATTCTGGCAAGTATAGTTTCCCAAACTAGAAAGAGAAGCAACTTTGAACTCACTGAATCCGGGATTACCAGTGACCACATTACCAATTCCTCGTAAATTGGAGCAACTCATATCAGAAATAGCAGTGATGTTAAACTCCAAATCGTTCTCGAATGAGATCAGATCCGGAGAACCAGTAGCTCTCACATTGTGAACTTCGATGGTTCTCTTGGTTATGATTTGGTAAAGCAACCTGTGAAGAAACTTTTAATAGCAAGTCAGTGTTTGTTTCTAAGTTTAACAAGAACCAAACAAGAACACTAAATTGTCAAGCTTTCAAACTCACGCAGCGAATAAGCCTATGAAAACTATCCAGCTCGCAACAGATAACGTTCCACCAAGCTCTGTTTTACGTTTCCTAACAATTTGTTGATCATCCTGCAATATTCAAAAATCTAATTGGTACCTCAAAAAAACCAAATTTATGAGTCAGGGAAAAGGGAGGAGGTACTAACGAGCCAATGTCTAGTGGAGAAGAAGACGTCGAGTCGAGTAATCCACCAACGGAGATTGAACCAGACATTACGACCATCGCCGAGCTTGGTGAATCTCAGGAAGAAGCAAAAGATTAACCAGGAGAGAAGCATAACGAGCGTGGCTTCTAAGAACACAGCTTGGGACTGCGTGAACTTGCGGATCCTATCGAAGGCGAATAAAGTCTCCGCAAACGATACTATGCTGTAGCCGATATCTTTGTCCGTGGAGATCGCCGACGGCCAACCGAAGATTTCGCAGCTGTCGGAGCTCCGGTTAAGAAGCTGACCAATCCCGCACGCACAGCGCGTGGCGTTGTATGTTATGGAGTTTCTAGGGCACGCCATCACAAAGAGCAGATGAGCTTCGAAACGAAGAAACGAAGAAACGAAGCAGACGAAGAGAGACGGAGAGAAGGAGAAGAACAAAAGGGGCAAGAAAGGAATTACATCTTTTAGTTATTTAATTTTTTTTTAGGACAGCTTTAAAGAACCAGACCGCGGAAGCAGAACCAGCCTGTTAAGAAAAGTGGCTTGACTTCGTCAAAGGTCAAGAACCAACAAAATTGACAAAACCGGCTGGTTCGTGTTATCCGGTTCGGTTTGCCCATCAAAATTTCCCGCCAGACCAAACAAACCGCCAAAACAAAACATCAACCACCAGAGATTTTCTTGTTACTCTCACTTCATTTCTTTCTTCTTTTTTTTTTTTTCTTTTTTTTTCTGATTTTCTTGTTTGAAGAGAGTTTACATACAATAGTACTCAAATTAATGTGCCCTTATTCATGGAAATTTGATAGTCAGAAATAGTGATCTTCCTCTTCATCTCTTTAATTAGTGTGTTATAAATATGTTGCATCCTTATTAAGTTTTGAAGTATGGTTTAACAAAAAAAAAGGTTTTGAAGTTTGATATAATTAATTTTACTGAACTTAAAATGCACTCGTTGATTGTAACTTAAGACTTTTGTACTCATATGAAAGAGTGTTACTGACGCGAGTCAATACCTTTGAGGACTTTAGTTATGCCTAAAACTAACTAAGTAATATTTCCCCATAACTCTCCATGCATGCTTTTTTCTCTGAAAAAACGAATGTTCGCCCCAGAATAAAAAAAGCATGATGTGGAGCAAAGGGAGTACAACAAGTAAGGTGCTGTAGCATATATTGAGTGAGTGACGAAGCATGAAGGAGCCACATTATTTGTGAGCCACAAACAAAAAAAAATATTATACAAAGAAAAAAAGGAAACGTACAATAGTGAAGTCGTTTCAAAGAGAGGATTTATTCCCACCTGCACTTGGTGGAGCTTTCTCTTTTCCCAAGTCTAAAGAACAAACACACACATATATATATATATATATATACACACTAATACTGCCTTTATGAAAATAGTTCAGTGTTTTCTTTTAAATACGCAATTGAATGAAAGAAAGATTAGTGTGTGTGGATATTGATAAATTCTATTGGATATAGCTAGTCCTGTAATATTGATATGATCGTATTATGGTATATATATCCCTTCTATTACCTACTATTTACTTCGGTCTTCAATGATTGTTAGTGAACAAATCTTTTCGATCGACCAAACACATCCTCTCCTTTATAATTTGTGTCTTCTGATTTGATTTGTAACTTTAACAACATGATTACATTTCTACTTAGCACACCGTATCAAATATCACATCTCAGTTACTTCTGGCGAGTTATCTCATGAACGGATGAGATTTTCTTGGAGACAGAATTACATCATTATTCTCGAGTTCAAACTCAATTTAGATAGAACCTGTAAGCCCTAATATAAATTCATATAAAATCATCAAAATTATATTAAAAATCGTAAAAATTCAAAAAAATTAAGTTTGAAAACATCCCTTTTCTCTTATTTTCTGGTTTAAGATTATATAACAAAACATCATGACGTCAAAAGTCCAAATTAACAGAACGATGGGTTTGGAATAAACCCTCAAATCATGCTAGCTATTTCTGACATAATTGAAGAATAATAACGATAATATATATATATGGAGGACGAATGAACTGAATAAAATTTAATTTTTAAAAAATATATATGTACAAGACTGCATTATCAACACATCAAAAGATAATTTTGAAAGCATATTATAGATTTGTAGTCATCAAGTGATGAATAGAACTTATTCCACAAGCATTATTATTCATACTTATATATGATCCCTCAATTTCACCAGCGATTCTTCATCCTCCACGTTCACACATATTTCTAATCCACCAATTTTTAATTCTTATTGTTCCATCCATCAGTCAAATTCCCTTTCCTTTGTTTTAGTCCGACACTATCTATATACTAATTTACACAAATTAATAATGTTTGTTTATTTTCTTATTTATTTTGTTCCAAATCTTTTGTAAAGCTGGGTATTTTTCTTTCTCGTTCTAAAACCATGAAATGTTATTATCAAATCAAAACAAAAATATATGCTTTCCATATGCATGTGAATGATTCTCTAGTAATTAGGTCGAATCAGTTTTCTCATCATGAATATATGTGCTAGAAAAATACTTTGTGATTTGTGTCATTGAACTAGCTAATATGTTGTTCACCTAGTAATATGTGTGTAGTTGTGATTAGAGTCAAGAACGCAAAAAAAAAAAACAAGAAAAGAAAAAACGAAATATATCTGGCTACCGAAAAAAAGAAAAAGATTCATAAAAGTCAAATTGTTTGCAGACAAAAAAGGTTTACATTAGTCATTTTTACTCTTACTTTATGTTCTAAGAATTATGAAATGATCTTTTTGTCCTTTTTGATTTATAAAACCATGAAATGTTATTGTCAAACAAGTAATGTATATATTTACATGCGTTTTTGGAAGAAATCTCATTTTGTCGGTTATGAAATTGGTTGCTATCGCCAGGTGCGTAGGGCACAACAATACTCAAGTCGGCATTTTCCATTTCAAAATATTCCATGCACTCTTACTAATATATTACATGCACGATGAGCATATTCTGCTCCCATTTATGAAAGTAAAGAATAATTTAATTGAACTAATTTATAAATGATTATTGGGTTAATTTAGTTTTAATATATTCTGTAATGTAGCACATATGCTCATCATATGTGGTTGTGGTTACGACAGCTAGAAACATATATTGGTATGGACAAGCTCATGCAACCTAGCTCACTCAGTCACTCTTTATCTGTGACAATACCATTAATTATTTATTATAATTTTAATTATAGTCAAATATTGAAAGAAATAATGCATGTTTACGTCATACACAAAATATTACGCTCAATATTTAGAGGAAACAATTGGAATAGAATCATATGCCACGGCATGGTCTGGTCAATTGTACTGATAATGATAATTCTCTTTTTCTCCATAAAACTATTAATGGTTAATTGAAAAATAATATATAGATACTCAAAATTAAATGCTGGCAATGATTTTATAGGAAATTAAAGCCATTTGATTTATAAATACTTGTGACTCTCTCATTTTCTAAAAATACTATATGTTATTCTACCAAATTTTTTTAAATTGATATATTATATATCTTTCTATTTTATTTTTTATTTTTTTTTATCTTTCTATTTTCTATCAAATAAAATAAGTAAAATGTATCTATAAATAGGAACATGTTGGTTTCTCTGTCTTAACACATTTACTATCTACCAAGGAGCTTAGAAAGCTTAATTCAGTTTCTTTCCTTTCGTTTACTACCATTGCAAACTCCCTCGAAGTCCTAAAAACAAATTTTATACTATAACTATTAACATTTGTTTCTCTAACTAAAACCATGATAAGTTTTGGAGATGCTTACAAAGTAATCGAAGCAATGGTTCCGCTCTATGTAGCCTTAATCTTAGGCTACGGTTCTGTGAAATGGTGGAACATCTTCACTCGTGATCAATGCGATGCCATAAACAGGCTCGTTTGCTACTTCACCCTGCCGCTTTTCACCATCGAGTTTACGGCTCATGTTGACCCATTCAACATGAATTACCGGTTCATCGCGGCCGATGTCCTCTCTAAGGCCATCATAGTCACGGTCTTAGCGTTTTGGGCCAAATATAGCAACAAAGGAAGCTATAGTTGGTCCATTACTAGTTTCTCTCTTTGCACTCTTACTAACTCTCTTGTCGTCGGTGTGCCATTGGCTAAGGCAATGTACGGGAAACAGGCTGTTGATCTCGTGGTTCAATCCTCCGTGTTTCAAGCCATCGTATGGCTCACGCTCTTGTTGTTTGTCTTAGAGTATAGAAGAGCTGGATTTAGTAGTAATGGTAGTGGCGATTCGAAAGTTGAAAACATCAATATCGAAAGTGGAAAAAGAGAAACTGTGGTTGTGGGAGAGGAGAAGTCGTTCCTTGAGGTCATGTCCCTCGTGTGGTGGAAGCTTGCAATGAATCCGAATTGCTATTCTTGCATCCTTGGTATCGCATGGGCTTTTATTTCTAACAGGTACAAAATAAATGGTTCGTTAGAGTATATATATTTGGGTTTATGAAATGTTTTAAAAAGCGTTAATTAGTGTGTGAGATCAGGAGATCACATTTAAGTAAACTTTTAAATTGCCTAAACACATCTGTAGTTTGACGTTTTAGACCACCTAAATAACTTATGTGTCTAGACTCTAGCGCATGACCATCTACCGTAGCAAAATTTTTTTTTTGGTTTTTTGCGTTTACGTTTTGGTTTCCATGATTCCATGTTACAAAAAACACAAACATAGATGCAAATGAAATGAAAAGTAACAATCGTGACCTAAGTCATACACCAGATTATATTAATTTATTTGCTTTTAGGGTTTGATTAGGGTTTAAATAGTACTTCGTATTAGAGACTAGAGTCTTAAACAATGGGTTTACGGTTATAATTATTATTTCGTACTAGTAGATACTATGATGAACATGATATTTAACAAAGACTTAAAATCTAACAATTGACGATGGAAATATAGATGGCATCTGGCGATGCCGGGCATATTGGAGGGATCGATTCTAATAATGTCAAAAGCTGGAACAGGAACAGCCATGTTCAATATGGGTACGTTTATTTATGTTTCCATGCAAGTATCTATCCATGAAAATATTATACGTATCAATATTGGTATAACAGTGAGTATACATACATATATACGTACGCAGGGATATTCATGGCACTTCAAGAGAAGTTGATAGTATGTGGAACAAGCTTGACTGTGATGGGGATGCTCTTGAAGTTTATCGCTGGACCTGCCGCCATGGCCGTAGGTTCTATAGCCTTTGGCCTCCACGGCGATGTCCTCCGCGTCGCCATCGTTCAGGTCACTAGTTATACTTTTCTTGTACGTTCTTTTCATTAGGGTTTTGTTTGATCAAGTTTTGGGTTTGATTTGACGCTGTGTCTAAAAAAGTAGATAATTTCCTTCCATTCACTATCATTATACAAACTTGTAATATTTTAGATCAATGATTCATATATTGTTTGTGAAATCTACAGGCTGCCTTGCCACAATCAATCACTTCGTTCATCTTTGCTAAAGAATATGGATTACATGCAGATGTTCTAAGCACAGCGTAAGTCAAAATTAAGAATGGGATATAAAAGTTTTTTGTCCATATTTTTTTGTTTCTTCTATATAATTAATTGTGATAAATATTGTAGGGTGATATTCGGGATGTTGGTCTCTCTACCTGTGCTCGTCGCTTACTACGCAGCTTTGGAATTTATCCATTGATTCAAATTAATAATTAAATTCGATCATATATCAATGTTTCTCTCTAATTACCTGATCTGGTCAATGATCTTTCACAACTACTATACTGTTTCTTCTTCTTCTTTTTTTTTCTTTTTTGTTATCGATCTCTTTTACACTTTAGAAAAATATAATGTTTTTTTTTCCTCTTGAAAGGGGATTTTGAAGTGTATTATTCGAGATATGGAAACCATTAATCGAACTGTTACTGTTAGGAATTGTTAGGATAAAAGAACATTTAGATTTATCTATTTTTATATACTGTAGTTCCTAACCTGTCTTTTCATGAGTATGCAACTACTATTAAGAAAAGATTGATGAATCTCCAAAAAGAAAAGTATTTAAACATCGATGCCATCGTGTTGAAATTCAATACAAATTTCTATAATTATATATGTGATTCAAATATAATTTTTAAGAAGGAAATAACTATTATAAGAATATATGAATCGAAATTTGTATTAGAGATCAATCAAGTCAAAATCTAAAAGTTGGAATGGTTGAGACTGGACAAATCCTTTTGAGCATTAGACTGTTTTCTATTTATAATTTATAAATTATAGTTTATGGTGTTACAAACCGAAAATTTTAAAAAATTATCACAGACCAATTACGGGCCATTTATATACAATTCTAACTGTAAAAATTGTTATCCATTTTAAAAATAAAGTGGACTAAAACGTGAATGGATTAGTTCCGAAGGACCCATTCAAAGCTTTAAATAATCAATATCAGTAACTAAAATACTATATGTGTTTAGTAGAATCAATTCACAATTTACAAGAAATAAATTATTCTTCCTCCTCAGTCCTCAACCGTCTATTTTTGGTGGGAAGATATCAGGGGTAATGCAGTCTTTTCCCCGAATCTCTCTCATAGTTTTTGTTTTTTTTTGGTTTTGTGTGGAGGAGAGAAGAAGACGCTTTACTTCCTCTGCCTATCTCTCTGCTTTCTCTCTCTAATGTCTTCCTCCATTGCTGCCATTTCCTCTCCACAATCGGAGGAGCAAGACGATTCGTGGGAAGAAGTGAAACCATGAGGTTTCCCGTCGGAAAGTCTCTAGAGTGACAGAGAATTATGGTGTTTTTGTGAATAATCACCGACGCAGCCATTGTTTGTTCTCCTTCTTTATCATCTCCATGGATTTTGATTCCAGAGTTCCCATTTCTCGGGAAAGCATTTCACTTTCCCCGTTGCTACACCAAAGTACCATCCTTTTTTTACCCAATAACTTTCATGTTTCTGATTCATCTTAAAAATCTGAGCTTTGGGGTTTGATTAGAGAGAATTGATTGGGTTTGTGAATTTAGATGCAATGTGGCAAACGAATTTGGGATCAGATGAAACAATGGGTGGTGATGGGCTTTATCCGGAGCGTCCGGGAGAGCCAGATTGTTCTTACTACATAAGGACTGGACTTTGTAGGTTTGGTTCAACTTGTCGATTCAATCATCCTTATGATCGGAAACTGGTACTGACTCTCTTTCTGTGTGTTTGTGCTCAGTTAGTGAATTTGGTGACACCTTTTTGTTGTCTTATCTAGCTTTTCCTCTGTTTCTTGTTCAAGTTGTGTTGTGTTGTGTATCAGTGTATGATTACTAGTTGATGATGGAAAAGTCTCATGTATGATCTTTAGGTTATAGCAACAGCAAGGACTAAAGGAGAATACCCTGAAAGAATCGGTCAGCCTGAATGCGAGGTAAAGTATGTTTTCACTTTTTATCAACACGACGAATGGTTTTAGATGAATGTTGAAAACTGAATTATGCTTCTTTATATCATTATAATGTCTCGTTGTTATCACATTGTCTCCAAACCAGCACAAACAAAAATAGAACTCAGCTTTAGCTTATTGAGTTTTTGACTACTTTTAACTCTTGTCTCAAAACTTTTTCTGGTGTGTGTCTGTGCAGTTTTATATTAAGACAGGAACCTGCAAATTTGGAGTGACTTGCAAGTTTCATCATCCTAGGAACAAAGCTGGGATTGATGAAAGAGTATCAGTTAATGTCTTAGGCTATCCTCTACGCCCTGTATGTACACCTTTTAACTTTCTAACTTCACCACAGCTTTTTAAAATTTTGCCTCTCTCATGAGTCTGTTTGCAGAACGAAGATGATTGCTCTTACTTTTTGAGAACTGGACACTGTAAATTTGGCGGAAGTTGTAAATTCAATCATCCTCAGACTCAATCAACCAAATTGATGGTTTCTCTTCGCTCTCCCGTTTACTCTGCTCTTCAATCTTTAACTGGTCAACAGTCTTATTCTTGGCCGCGGACATCTTATGTTGCAAACCCTCCTCGTTTTCAAGACCCTTCTTATGCCTCTTTAGGTGGCCTTGTATCAGTTCAAGGGTGGAACGCTTACGGTGTACGCCTTTTTTTCTTAATCATCCATCATATTATGAACTTTTAAAGGATGTTGATTTTGATATTGGTTGGGACCTTGTTTTCATCAGGGTCAGCTCGGTTCACTTTCTCCCTCGGGAAGTGACCAGGACTACAGAAACCAACAGCAGAATGATGCAGAAGAGTCTTCAGGATCTCAAGGAGGTGTCTTCTCATCTGGGTTTCATTCAGGAAATTCTGTTCCCCTCGGCCAGTATGCATTACCTAGCGAGAATGTATTCCCGGAAAGACCAGGCCAACTTGAATGCGAATTCTACATGAAGACAGGAGATTGCAAATTTGGAACAGTCTGCAAATTTCATCATCCTAGAAACAGACAAACCCCAGCTCCTGATTGTGTCTTAAGCACTGTTGGCCTCCCTTTACGCCCGGTAAGCTAAAAAGAAAGACTTAGAGATTTAACGTATCATCTAGAGTAGAGGTTGTATTCAGTTTTATCTGGTTTGGTAAAATCGTTGGTGTTTTGCCTTGTTGGTTTTGAACAGGGAGAACCACTGTGCGTGTTCTATTCACGGTATGGGATATGCAAGTTTGGTCCAAGCTGTAAATTTGATCACCCGATGAGAGTCTTCACTTACAACAGCAATGCTGCAGCTCCTTCTTCTTCATCATCTTTGCATCAAGAGACTGCCATCACCACACAGCTAAGGAATCTCCTAGTCTCTTCTTCTGTGGAAGCAACACCCCCGTCTTCTGTCTCTGAAACAACCTCTGCTAAAGACACCACTGTTGATGCACAACACTGAAACCTTTCGTTTTGACCTAAAGCATGTTTATGTACAGAGATGAGATATTTGATCTGATCTGATTTGCTTCGTGTTGTAATTTTCTATTTCCAAAATTAATGCCGAGAGAAAAGAAAAAAATAAAAAGGAAATGTATTTATTTACCCAACTGGTTAATATATATCCGAATTTATTTATTTTTATAAAAAGGAAAATATCCTTTTTTCCTATAGGGCTAGATTACTTTTTGTATAAGTAGGACTCTGTTATTTACTTCCCCGAGAAGACAAAGAATGTCGAAAAAACGACGTTGCTGCTGCTGCCACACGATGTAGTAGAGCTAATCTTGGAGAGACTTGCGGTGAAATCTCTGCATAGATTCAAGGCTGTATCGAAGCAATGAAAATCAACAATTAAATCCCAATACTTCCAAGGAAAACACTTGACGCATCATGAGCGTTCAGGAGATCCAGATGTTCTCATGGTGTCCGTAAATACCAATCCCGGCAAGGACACCCTAAGAACACTGGTGCTGGGTTCATCCTCATCGGTCAAGATCCCTACTCCTTGGGAGGAGGAGGACAACACAGTCTATTTGGTTTCCCATAATAGCTTTGACGGTCTCGGAGGACAACACAGTCTATTTGGTTTCCCATAATAGCTTTGACGGTCTCTACAATCTCTTCAACTCTTTTGTGGTCAACCCCGCCACTAGATGGTATCGGGGCTCTTCCTCCTATGTGAAGTAGCTTTGGAAACACGTAAAAATGAAATTAAGAGGCACAGAGTAGATGGGCCTTAAAAGCCCAAAAATGAAAAATGGGGAAAAGAAAAAACACACAGGGCCACACGCACGTGGAGCGCGTTGAGTCACGTACTTGATATACATCTCTATCTACTCCGGTTAAGAGGGCTTTAAAGCCACGTCGGTGCTACACATGTCCTAGAACACAAACTAAACACCTGTTTTTGTTTGTCCGCCATTATCTATTAAAATCCCAACTCCGGTTATCTCTATTCGTTCCTAAAATCCGATCTAAACAATTGGTGGGTAGTTTTTTTTTTTTTAATTTTTCAACAATGGCGCAAGATCACGACGAGACGGAAAACAAAACCTACGCCGGCGTTGTCGGTGGCGATGATGTCGGTGAAATCGTCAACGGAGGAACGAAGAATGGTCATCGTAAACCGGACTATGTGGAGAAGGAGCAAGACGATGAGGATTTGAAGAGTCTCTACTCATTGATTTGTCTCACGATCGGTTCGATTCTGTTTTCCGATTCGAAAACCGGCGATGTGTCGTCTTCCTTTCTAGAACGTGTAAAGAACTCCGTCGCCGAAAATGGTCCCAAGCTTCGTGAAGCTTCTGTAAGAACAGGACGCGAGATCCTTCTTTGGACTCGTAAAGGCAGCTCGCTTCGTGCTCTGCTTGTTATCACTGTAAGTTGGATTTTTTTTTAATTCCAATGATTGGTTTTTCATAAAATTGATTGGATTTTGAACCTAATTAGACCGATTCCTGAAGTAAAGTTTTAACATTTCGTGCCTTAAGTCGTCTTGATTCTGTAACCATTGTTGAAAAGTTTGGTACTTTAGTGAACCCATTTGAGTCAAAGTTTCAAGGGTGTGTCTCAGGCTGTACTTAGTACTGATTAGCTATTGTTTTGTTTCAGATGGGAACAATAGTTCTTCTTACAACAATGGCATTGGTTGTGTTCACGCTCTTCTTTGTAGCTGCAACAGCCAATGCTATCATCATTTCTCTTCTGATTTCACTTGCTGTTGCTGGTGGCTTCTTGGCACTCTTCTTTCTCTGCTTGACTGGTGTTTACATCGGAGCCTTATCCATTGCTGCATTCGTCATCTCTACCGCTACAGTTTCTGCTGTTTTTTCCGTCTTAATAGCTTCAGGTTGGTTATAGCTCTGCTCTTATTCTGTTTTTTGAATCTTGAAATGACATACCAAGTTGCTTCCTTTATGTACTGAAGACTGTGAAACGGATTTGGCATATTGGATCAGGTTGGATTGGGTTTTTCTATGCTGTGTGGTTGGGAACACGAGGAAGCCTGCGCTTGGCGAAGCAATCGGTTTCAGTGGTGGGATCAGCCATCTCCGGTAACAGTTTCACTCGTCATCAACACCAAAACCGGGAGGTAAACATCGAATAATCATCCAACTGAGAATCCGCCTCTACTGTGTTTGTAAATAAACCACGAGTTTTGGTCTGAGTTTGTTATAATGGAATCATATCTACTGAGTTTGTTGTGAAGAAGCAGAGAACCAGACGAATGTTTCAAAATTTGTGATCAATGTCTTCGGATTTTGGATTGTGTACGCATACATTTGTGTGTTTATGTACTTAAGAATGATCAGTATACATATGAAACCTCAACTCAGATCTCTTTACATTTTAGCTGCCAGAAACCCATAGACACTTGAAACCCTTTAACCCACCGAGAGGCTTGCAACAACAAAAAACCAAACTTTCACCAAATTTTGATGATCTTCCAATTATATAACTTATGATCAACCTGATCAACCTCAGAAAGCCAAAAACAAAAACTCATACATTGATCATCCACTTTATAATCAAATCATCAATAGAACTTGAGAAGAAGAACTCCAAATATCTTCCTTTTTGTAGTGATATATCCCCTCTCTGCAAAAATCAACACTCTTGAACAACTTGGTTCTCTACGTGTTCTTCTTCTTTTACGTTGAGAATCTCATCGTCACAATGATTTATATACTTCATACATGCTTCTGAGTGTATATATAGCGAGAGAGCGGGGGAAAAAAAACGATATATATTTAAAATCCAAATCGATCAAGAAAGTCATTTATCGTGCCAATCTGGTCTGCCTAATGTGAACTCCAAACTTGGATTGTTACAACTAAGATCGCCACACCTCTTTGATTGATCATTCAACCTTTGCTCCTGCCAAGCTAACTTAATTAGATTAAAGGAAACTAGGGAAAAAATCTAAGAAAACCAATAGCTATCCTATCTATAGACGAGAATGATTAGAACCTGATTTTGAAGGCCGGATCTTTGAAGATGGGAGATCATTGATGTTGATGAAGTTCTGATCATTGTATCCATGTCGCTTGAGCAGTTATTACTTAATGGCCATGTCTCTCTATTAGATAGTTCAAGAAAAGAAAAAGAAAAAGAAAACACAAATTAAGTTATAGTTTATTTATTCATAGATATACTTTATTTAGAAAAAAAAAAATAGTTTGCTAACCTATCATCAGTAAAAATTCATAATTGTATTATTCTTCAAATCCAAAAAACTAAAAGAAGAAAAAAAAGAGAGGAAAATCACTTGTGACTTGACTCAATTTTCTTTATAAAAAAAAACAGAAAAAAAGGCAAAACTACTTGAAAAAAATGTAGTCACAGATTGCCTTAGTGGGTGTTATTGGTTAGTGGATTTTATAAATAGAGTCTAACTCTAACCCAAATCTAGTGTTATTCCATCATATATTGATCCCACAATCTACATTAATACATATATAGGAACAAAATCCTTATATTCTAGATGAACCCTTCTAGAACCTGAACGAAATAATCACATCATCAGCCATAAACCCTAATTACTGTGAATCCTAAATAATCTCACTGTAATTAAAAAAAAAACGAAAAAAAAGTAGCACTTTAATTGGTTACCATTTCTATTTGAACGAAAAAGGGAAACTATAGTCCAACAAAACTATTTCTGCTAGATGAAGATCTAGCTAAATCTTGGGATAGGCCAAAGAATTGTTATACGAACTTGGTAGGAAGTAGGAGCCATTAGGTAAGAGAACCCTAAAACTTATATCAAATTGCATCAATCGTTCGTACCTAATGTTCATATACGTACTTATCGTGTGTGTAATAACTAATAATACATGTATATGTATACATTATTAATTGTAAGATTATAATACGTAAACGTACCGTGAAGAGTTACTCCAACGAGGTTGTGTGGAAGAAATGTCAATTTCTTGATGAAGAGAAGTATCATCAGATTGTGCCCTTTGATCCGTCGATGATTGATGATGAGCTTCGTTTCCATTTATGCCCATTTCTTCTTCTCCTGACCCATCTGAAATTTTATTTTAACTTTTTTATCAAGTCTCCTCTCAATTCTTTTTACCCTATATGGATTCTTATTTTAAAATGAACAATTATTGTAAGCTTTTGGTAAAAGACATTGCAGTGAAGAAATTGCTTTTCCATAAATGTTATTCAGCATTTTGCTGGACTACAATCTAACATATGTCCCCAAAAAAAAAAGCTCGGAAGTTGTGCCATATAATAATAATAATTTGAACAAATGAATGTTATGTTTGAGAAGATCATCCATATGAATATAAAGAATCTATATAGTATATTTCTTGTAGTTTTGATTCATTATCCTAGAATTGGATATGATTTGTTTTTGTTTTTATTAGAGAAATCAATATTATTGATGAGTGTTTGTTTGGTTTGCTTTGAACTTTGACCACTAAAAACTTTAGGGTTTCAATCAAAGGAAAGATAAAGCCTTGAGCTTGACCAATATCTTAGGGCTTGTTTTTTATTATTTTGGGAAAAAGGTAATAGTAGAAGATAGTGGAACTAAATAGTATAATCGAATAGTAAAAAAAAAATAGAAATAGTTTGACGTTAAAATATTACTATATATATACAAATATCGAATCACTGATTCAAATTCATATCATAAACACTATTAACCAACAAATGTACTATATATATAGAGTGATTATACTAGATATCGAGTTCTGATTAAATTGTGTTGGCGAATCCTATAAGCTTTATTGTGCATAGTTCTTATTATAAATCCAGTACCATCTCTTTAGCATATATAAACTGAAAAGAAGCTTTCCTAAAGAAATGTGAATACGCATAACATTATTATAGATCTATGCAAGTGTGTGTGTGTGTGTGTGTAAAGGAATAATACGTACCTGATGAAGCAGCAGGCTTGTTAGTGGTCTTAACAGTTCGATACATCTGCGAAGAAAAGGAAAAGAGATAAGGCATGACTCATGAGAGAGCTCAAAACTTAGGATAAAACCATATATAAATCTATAATTAAAAGGATACAAGAAAACTAAAATAAAACGGACAAAAGATGCTGATAAACTAATTAGACATGATACAGATGACAAGACTGGAGACATATATGCAGACACATATGAACTTTATAAATATAATTAAATAAATAATATATATCATGTACCAGTACACATATGTATGGTTTTCTGGGTTTGTCTTGGAACTGGTGTTGTGATAATTATTTAATTATTTTATTTTATGATTTTAAGACCACGAGGTTGATGTCTGAAAGAAGGTTGAGTAATAGAAAGATAGATTGTATTATTATCATTGAGTAATGATGACTACTTTTGTCCCCTCTTCCTAATTAAATATATTATATAAAAAAAAAGAATTTATAAAAATCCAGATAACTTCTATCAATCTCAATTCTCACAATTGTTTAATAATTCTCTCTGATAGGTTTCAGTCTCTTAAAGCTATAACTACTCTCTCTTTTTCTCTCTTTAAATTCATTCAACTGCTTCAATTTTTCTTGGCTATTGTGCCATCTCTTCCATAAAAATGACTAAACTTAAAAAGCAAAGACAAAAAAAGAAAATAAAACTAATAAGACATTAGAGTTGGAGCATTATTCTTCATTGCTAGCTCCGATGATATATATAAGTACAAAAAAATCAAAAAAAAATCTTGTTTCTTGAATTCAGATGTTTTTGTGCAACGCAAAGGAGAAGAGAGTGATGTATATATTATGATTGGTGATGAAAACTATGAAATATCCCTAAGCTAATTATAGAATCTTGATTGGTAAAGAACTAACTCGATGACTAGACTCGTAAGAGGGGAAATGTATTTGTTTAATTGAATATCAAGTAGAGTGTTAGTCGTACCTGCAAATGGCTCTTCACATGAGCTAAAGTTAAGTCCTTTACATCCATGAGCTCAAGAACCGACTTCGGAGTTGCTCCTAGCATCACGACAACAACAAACAAGAAGATAAAATCAAAACTTAGAGATAAAGTGAAGGATCTTTAAAAATGAGATTATGATAGGAATGTGTATAATGCGTATATATATAAATACGTACTTTCATGGCCGCCTAGGAGCTCAACAGCGTGAACAAACCGAGCGTGAAGGCTACTAGTCCAACGCATCCTCGGAGCTCTCATGCTCCTCTTTGTCGGCATCTTAGGCAAGAATCTTGATCTGATCATCCCATGGTGATGGTGATGGTTATGGAGATGAGGAGAAGAGGCATCTGAAGATCCAACGACTCCATAGTGATTATGATGATGGTGATGCAAAGGGACACCCTTAAGCCTCGGGGAAGATTGTAATGACCGGTAAGCGTTGTTATAGCCTGAAGAAGAGTTCAGGATTGAGATTTGATCCAAGTCTGCTCCTCCAAGCTGGGAAGGCAAAGAAGAAGAAGGAGAGGTTTGTTGGTGGAAAGGGAAAGAACGGTTGTGATAGACCGGGATGCCTCTAATCGGACGGTGGAGATTACTAATCTCGGATTCATCGACTCTTTGGTGACCATTGATGATAGGGTTGTGGTAATGCTGGTGATGAGGAAGATTTAGGTTTCTTCGATCAGGACAATGGAAGATTCTTGCGGGTGGATGAGACAAAGAAAGTTCAAAGTTGGATGATGATCGGTTGTGTTCCGGTAGGGAATTAGAAGATCTTCTACAAGGTTCTTTGGAAGATTCATTGTGATGATACTGATGAATATCTGGGAGACTGATGTGGAGAGATAGATCAGGGAGAGTCGTAGTAGCTGTTGTGTTTGATTTTGGTTTCTCTAGAAAAAGTCCTTCCATTGATATATATATATATAACTAGACAAACCTTAAAGAAACCTCTCTTGCTATTGCTGCTGCCACTGAAGTTGATGATGGTGATGACTTTTGTTTGTTTTGTTGTTTTTTTCTTCTTTCTATGGAAGATTTTGCTTTGGAATTTAAAAATGAATTTCTCTTAAGGAAAAAAGAAAGCAGAGATTGGATTCTTTGGGGGAAAGAAGTCAAAAGGGGTGTCTGAAAGATTTGATTTATATCTTCGTTCGCTCTCTCTCTCTCTCTTTATATATCTCAAAAAGTAGTGAGCTAGAGAGGGATGAAGTTATAAAGAGAAGGCTTTTGAAGAAGGAGCTAAGAAGAAGCTAGGGAGAAGAGAGAGAGAGAGAGAAGTTGAGGAGTAATAATATTGATCTTCTTTGAAGAAACAAACATGCTCAAAGTAAGACGCAGAGAGAGAGAGAAGAGAGAGAGAGAGAGGTATGTGTGTTGTGAAGCAAAGGAAGGAAAAGGCAGAAGAGAAAAAAGGAATAAAAACTAAATCCAGGAAAAATTAAAAACAGGTAAGTGAGAGAGAGAGAGAGAGATGCGTGCATATGTATGTGTACACATATGTACATGTATACAATATGTATGAGATGTTGTTCCTCGAGAGTATATCTTGGAAAACGATAGTTGAGAAAGGGCATTATTGTAATTCGCTATGTTCCAAATTTTAGAAGCTTTTTTTTTTTGTATGTTATTTACAGTATTTGGGCTGATAATTTTCTTAATTTGTCTTTTGCACCTAATATAAAAATGTTTTCATGTAAGCTTACTTGATTTCCTTTTTATTTCTTCACCGAATAAAATTTTTAGTAAGTCATAAATGAGCATTTTCCCTTTAGTTGAAAAAATAAAATAAAATGTTTATTAAATTAATAAAATGTTTATTAAATTAATAAAATGTTGAGTAATTTTATACATTTCCCTTTAGTTGAGTAATGTGTAAAATGTTTTTAATTACTTGATCACCTAACATAAAATTAGCATGTCATAAGTTACTTTATTCGTTTAATGATGTACTTGTATCTAATATTATCTTTCCTTTTTGGTAACATAATTGGAATATTATCTTATACTAGTATTAAAACCTAAACAAATTGATGATAAAAAAAGTCAGTTGATATTTAGAAAAGAAATGTTATAATGGTCACAGATTATGATGAAGAATAAAATTAAGTTTTTTTTAAAAAATGTGGAAGAAGAAGAAGAAGAAGAGTACAAAGAGAGAAGAGAGAGAATAAAGGGTCGCTCTCTTCTGTCGTATCTAATCTCTATAGTCTATAGTCAAAGCAAAAGCCAAAGTTGAAATAAAATAAATTAAATAGTAACAAGAGGAAAAACACAAAACACAACACATATTTTAGTTTTTAATATAAACTTCTTTAAAAAAAAAATAAAAAAAATGAGAGCTTTGATTTTGGTACCCCGGAGACGACGGGGATACATATGTTCGAGAGACTGTCTCATCTCATCTCTCTCTCTCTCTCTGACTCCTTTGTTTATTTCTTAAGTTTCTCCCCCACTCTCTTCGCTTCTCACTTCACTCTCTATTCACATATTTATCTTTTCTTTATTGATTTTAATAATTTTCTTTATACGATTTTGGAATCAAACAAATTCAAGTTTCTGACCGTAGATTGTTCAACTCTACCTAAAGAGATAACTAATTCATTTAATATCATCATCATCAAGTACCTTCTTTTAGTTTTATGAATAGCTCCTATAAGACATTTTTAGTTCGTACTTCGTTGAGATGTGACTGTATATCAAATATCCAATACTCGTTTACTTGGTTGACCAGTTTGTGTAGTCCATCATTAGTGAAGCCTAATCAAAAGTAATTTGTTGTCTTAATTAAACATGCTTTTTAAAATTAAGTTTTAAGGGATCGATATATAAATAATATTACTAATCGTTTAAGAGTTCTTTTAGTTCGTGTATGTCTTTTGTACACATTATTTCATATTCACATTTTTTACACTTTTATTGTTTATCATTTTACAAAATTTTGCCTAGCTAGTTGATTCTATCTACTATTTTTAGTCGATTTTAAAATATTTATACGTACACAGAAGAACACTAAAAAAAAATTCTGCATTTAAAAATTGTATACAGTTTATTTTTTATTTTAATTAAACATTTGATAATTTTATTGCTAAAGAAATTTTTATATATATATATAGTCCCACTCTGTGTTTTGCCTTCGAAAGGTATAAACCAAAAAAAAAAGTATTTGTCTTTGCAAAGTACCTTTCTCTACAAATGCTACACATATAATACGCATTCGTGTGTGCAATAATACTACAAAGGGCGCTCCTCCGTATGTGTGTAGTATAAACCAAGTAAGTGTCATATAAAATATTGCTCGATCAATTATTGTAACGTAACATGTTCGTTTTTTTAGAATATACATGTAATTTAAATATATCAGACCTAAGAAATATATTCAGCCATAAAGTATATTTTGTTTGTTTCCCTGAGTAAACAAAAACAAGTAAACCCTAAAGAACCTTAAGATTTGCTTCTAATTCCCTTTTCATTCTCCCAAATATTCCTTCTCAATTTAATAACTCTCTTTTTATATTTTATCCTTTGAATTGTCTTCTAAGAAAGAAAAAAAAAGTTTAAAGTATTCTTTCCTCACATGACCATCAATACATCACATCTCGACATATCATAAATGTTTTAATTAAAATCAATAATAAAATATCAACCAAAACAAAAATAAATGAGATTTCATGCGTTGATTAGACAGTAATATTATTCTTATAAGGTATAAATATAAATATTAAAAAGTAAAGCTTGTACAGTATGCTTGCAGTTTTTAGACGTTTTGCTTCATGTGAGTTCAATAAGATAATAAGAATATATATAAAATTTTACTTTTAAGCAAACACAATATTACTTGTTACAACCCTAGCTAAGCTAGAATACTCATAAGTATTCTTTTTGAAAGAGCTAGGTCCATTCTAATTTTGATTTGGGTTTCATTTTTTTTTTTTTTTGGGGTAAAAGCTTTGGGTTTCTTAAACCTAGCTATAGGCTACACTAAACTGCATCTTATCTTTAGCTAATAGTACTTATAAATTTAAGTTCATTAACTCGTACTAGTATATTCCAAACCTAACAATATTTAGTTTTCTGATGAACGATCTAGTTTTTTTTATTCTCCCTCATCGAGCTACATTTATACTTTTCTAAAAAGTAGTACTAGTATTTGTTTTAAAAACCTCTAGCTAGGTTCACCCAAAGGATTGTTATTCGTAATGAATAGTACAACTAGCTCTAGTATTATTAACTGATCCATGAATAACTTATATTGGGAACTAAACCTTTTTCCAGAGAGTATAGTTAATTAAAGGAACATTGAAACTAGAGAGCAACGAAGCTTGATTTTTGGCTTAGTTATTAACGTTTTGATCGGAGTCTGTGCCACCCCCATTAATTTCTCCAAGGACATAAGCTTTCCTTTTGCTCTTATGTTTTTATTCCCTTTCCGTTATCAAACCTCTCTGTGTCTTAGACATATTCAATTTATGCAGATGGATAGGTATATAAATAGAGTACTCATCGGATATTCAATTTATCTCTTAGCTTAGTTTCAAGTAAATAGAAAAGTAGAAAACAATACTAGTATATCATAATCTAGTATGATTTAAGAGTGTGAAGGAAAGATCTTGTTCAACTTCTTCTCTTTTTCACGTTGTTTCTTCTTTTTCATTATATAGATACTAGATTTTACTATGATCAATGATCAACATATACAAACAACATATAACCAATTAAAATTATGTCAAGATAAGAAAGGTTATAATTAGCAAAAATGTAAAGCATATACTCGTAGTCTCCTTATACGACTACGAGCAAGAAAACAAAAATAATACAGGAGTACTAGACCACTTGTCTAAGAAGAAGTTAAACTGAAATTCATTGTACAAGAAAAGGCAAATATTTGCCAAATATTTGTATTATATAGTGGAACTAGGCCACAATGAAATGGCATTATACCGAGAATTAAAAAAAAAAAAAAATTGAATTTGATGAAATGGCTTACTTTAAAGTTTCATTAGAAAAAACATATAATTGCAGGGTCTATTGTTTTTCCTACCAAATTAAAACCCACGTGTCTTCCATTGATTAGTTGCTAATTTCAGAGAGAAATAATTAATGTAGGTCCATCAAATTGCATGTATGTCTTAATATCTTTATTATCTGCTTTCCCTCCTATGCTTTTTGCTACGTGCATTTCGCATTTATTTATTGGTTTATTTGACTATTGTCAGTAGATTGGGATTTCAACAAAAAATAAAAGTTTTGTTATAAGTATTCAGCGTTATAAGTTATAACAAGAAAGAAAATATTATCTGACAGATTGTAAATCGTAAAGTATCCGAATAACTAATTTTCTTCTAATGGTCGCTTAAAACTTAAATTGCTTTTGTAGTAAATCATTGATAACATAGTAAACATTTTGGACTGGTAGCATTGCGTCAAGAACTTCATTTAATTAATTAGCTTTCAGTTGAATTGTTAGAACATACTTCTCGATTCTCGATTAGAAGCAGGCGTCATAGTGAACCATTTATTCTAAGTCTTGGGCTCTCTTAGCTAATTTATAATCTCATTATTTTTTGTGTGATTTGGTATTAAAGGATTTGATCTTGTATTTAATATTGCTTACAGCTGCTTAACCGAATTAAAACTCGAGCTATCAAAGATTCAAAAGAGGGAAAAAAAAGTTCAAGTTGCAAGCCCTTTAATAAAAAAAAGAAAGAAAGCTAATGTGCGTCAAAATAAGAAATAAGGGAGAATAATAAACTAAATGTTTATATACAATTATTATTATTAGGAGAATTGTTTAAGAAAATGATAATTACTAGTAAATCTGATATAATTAAAGTGATGGATGGATCTCTCTAAACGTGTGTGATAATACTAATTAATAATGCATGGACACGAACATACGTCGGTGCGTGAGAGAGATCCAAATATGACAAGTAAGTAAATTATCTAATTTAATGCTGTTTTGTTTTGTTTTGTTTTTTAATTTTTTCTGAATTTTAATTTATTTATATATACTATATATATAGGAAAAAAAAATTATAAAAAAATTAAAATTGTAACACTGCACGCATTAAATGGATCCAACAGAACGTGAGGTTCCATATTGTCTAAATAAAATTTATTTTTAAAACACCTTTTTGGAATATATCGGAGAATGAAAGTCTCCGTTGATTCTACCAATCCGTTGACGTTCATATCTCTTTGTCACACATTCTATTCTTATTTTAGTATTTTACTTTCTTCTTTTTATTTCTTGTAGTATATATAATTCTGCATCTTGTCTTAAACCATACTGTGTTCTTTCTTTTCTGTTCCAATTTTGAATGTTTCCTGATTTATTAGTAGTATTACAAAGATATGTTGCATTTCTTTTATTTATTAGTGACAACCCCATAGATACT